ACAACAACAACAACAACATACCCAGTATATTCCCAACAGGTGGGGTCTGGGGAGGGTAATCTGTACGCAGACCTTATCCCTACCTAATGAAGGTAGAGAGGATGTTTCCGATAGACTCTCGGCTCGGAAAGAAGGAGGAGGAGGAGGAGGAGAGAAAGAAGAAGGAAAGAAAGAAAGAAAGAGAGAAGACAAAGAGGGAGATAAAGGATAAGTGTCGTTTCATGGTAAGTAATAGAACCATGTATGGTTAATCAAAGAAGCACACCGACTGGAAATAAGTTATGCCAGTCCAAATGATGGGATAGCAGGTGCTGACTGACATAAGTAGAAGGAATCATTCTAGGAAGTGTTTTCTGGCTATCATTCATGGAACAAACCTAATTTTACCTATCCTCAACTAGAACCGACACATTTGGCTGAATTCACAAGTATATCATAGGTAGAATAGAATGAATGGGATGCTTAATTCCTGCAGAAATTAGATCTGAAGGTGTTAATGTAATGGCTGGATATCCTGATTGGTGATAATAGTAGTAGACCAGAGGATAGAAGGAAGGGTTGATAAAGAAACAGAATACCACCACAGATACGCAGAATTGGCGTTCGATGAGCAAATTTACATAAGATAGGTGTAAGAGATCCTAAGCCTACATTTGCACCAGTCTACCTAATCAAAGGCACTTAACTGTTCTATTAGACAATAATGCATCATGGCAATGGAAAGAAAACATTCGGAATCAAGATTCTTCGTCCGAACATTTGAAGACAGGAAAACCAAAAATTTATCAGCATCCCAGTTAACGACAACCTGAAAGCATGTAATTCACTCTACTATGACAATTGATGAGGATCTCAAATAACAAGATTAATTTGAACCCAATGGTGACCAATTCATAATAAGATAGAGCACGCCTGTAATTTGCCAAAGAAAATTTTTATGTAGAAAATTTCTGTTGTCGAAATAGGAGTCAAATAGCCTACAGACAGGAACCTGTCTTCACCAGGAAAGACATTAATAAAATCAAAATAAGCAACTTAGATGGTATCATCGGTTACAGAGATGGATCTAGGATTTGAACAATATGGGTTCGGTTTCGGAATTCTACCACAACACATTCGATTTATTGGGTTCGAAATCTACCATTATACTTATTTAGTGAATTTTCTAACACACATACAAAGTCTGAGCCAAAATTGTAACTTATGCACTACGTCTGCCTCTGATCATTTAAACAACCACAATATCAATCCAAGAATGACAATAAACTAGAAAAAGAGTAATTACCTGTTTCCTTTTAGCTTAAACCAAGCCTCAGCACAATGAGAATGCACAAATCCAAGCTCTCCTTTACAACCACAACCAAGCTCAATCAAATCCACCAAATTCTGTAAATTTTTCCCACTTTCATAAGTACTCAAATGACAAATCCTACACACCCTTTGGCAGTCCTCTTCCAAATCCTCTCCCAATTTCTCCGCTTCGCACTTCACATCAATGACAGTCGAAAACCTCTCACCCTCCTTCAAATCCTTCACTTTCACCTCATTCCCTTCAATCCCATTTCCCTTTCCACCCGAATTTCCTTCTTCGTCGCAAATTCTTGATTTTTCATCAGTTTCCCTATTTTCATCCAATCTTATGGTGATTATAGTCTCAGGAACATCCACTTTATGATTCCGTACATCCATCTCCTTATCCATAGTTTTCCTCAGTATTTCATCCAATAAATCAATCAAAACACTGACGATTCAGATGAAATACAAACAAGATTAATTACCTTATTATAAGTAGCAAAGTACCCTTACTGCCCCGACTTTGAGATTCAGCCCCCTGTCGCTCTAATCAAATCAATCAAACACTAAAAAGGGTCAAAGATTCAGCCCTCTGTTCTAATTAAATCAATCAAACACGTAAAAGGGTCAACGAATTGAATGTAATACAACCAAGATCTTAAGTGGACCCTTACTGCCACGACTTTGAGATTCAGCCCTCTGTGAATTAAATCAATCAAACAAAATCAGCCCTATGTTCTAATTAAATCAATCAAACACTTAAAACACAAACAAGATCTTAAGTGGCAGAGTACCATTACTGCCACGACTCTGAGATTCAACTCTTTGTCGCTCTGAATTAAGAATCAGCCCTCTGTTCTAATCAAATCAATCAAACACTAAAAAGGGTCAAAGAATCAGATGTAATACAATCAAGATCCTAAGTTGCAACAATAGCCTTGCTATCAGGATAAGATTTGTTATATGTATGTACATATATAAAAAGGGAAAGTAAATGATTACTTGATGTTTAAGACACTGAGCGGACAATCAAGAAATTTGATAGATAGGGATAAGGGGTTGTTTGTTCCTATGAAACAGTAGAAGGGCAGTTTCTGTTCGTCCTTTTTGTCTCCCTACAACTTGTATATATGGAAAGTGAATATATTGGTTTGACTGATTCTGTAAAGATTGTTAAAGAAGCTACTCCACTTACTAATTTTAATGTTTATATAAGGGAAGTGATTAAACTGGTAATGTTATGATAAACAAAAGAGTATTAAATAATAGCGTTGACGTAAACTTCGAGGTGGTGATAATGACAATACATTAGTTCTGCCGAATAATCAGGTGTTTTTAAAAGAAACAGTAAAAGGTTGTCAGCAACCTAGATTAGGGTATTATCTGAAAAAGTTCAAAAGTCGTCCTTTTAGGCCTTGCACAAAAGTCTATCAATTATGTGAAGATTATAGTAATATATAAGGTGGAAAAAAAGAGATATTATAATATAAAAATTACTTATATACAATAACAAATAAAATTACTATTTTCGATATACCATCGACTTACTTATATTATAATTAATAATAAAAGAACTATTATGCGATAATTAACAATGAAAAGATTATTATATGAATAGTTAATACTTCCTTTAAAAAAGACATTTTGGCATTGAGATGGTTTCATATCTGCATTGCTAATAATACGCATACTCTTAATTCACACTCAATCTCGCAAAAATTACACACATATTGTTATTAAGAAAGAAAAAGAAGCAATAATGTGAAAAACCAAAATCATCAATAAATAAAAATTCCTATTCTCTGAAGTTGTTACTCTTGGCAGATTTAAGCAATGTTGCTTATGAATAATTTGTGTACCTTTTAGTCTAATGTACCAAAAAATATATATTATAATATAAGTTATACTCCAATAAAATATTTTTAAAAATAGTAGTAATAAATAAATGTTCAAAGGCATACTGTTTAGCCCTACATGATCGTCTTGACTTGAGAGATGTGAAGATTGCCTTACCTCGGTATCTCCCAACTTTGACTTTAAAACTTTTATAATTAGAATCAAAAGATGGCAATATCTAATAAATATCACCCAAATCAATTTATTTCATTTTCTTCTTTTGGTTGATTACTTAAGCAATTACATTTAAAAAGATGTAGGTAACATTTCGGAGAGGAATTTTAATTTTAAGGTTCCAATTAAATGGACCAAGATAAATATATTATCTAAAAAAACAAGATTATACCAATTTATTGGTGACAAATAATGAAGTGCGTTGAGATCTAAATTGTTCATTAGCATATAATCACATCTCCTCTTTGCCTTTCCCTTTATGATTTAAATATACTATACGTTGATGATATCCTCTCCATTTAAAAAGCATGTGGTGTGTAGTATGACACGTTAACCCAAGTTGTAATTAATCAACCACTTTTTATTTTCTTTTAACTGCCAAATAAGTAAGCATGGGTACAATTGCTTTGGCTCAAGAATTGGTTGGGAAAATTTTGGGATTAGTTTCAAATTGTGTTATTTATTCACCTCTCTGACTATTTTATTGGGTACATAATATTCTTTTACCGGTACAAGTATCTAGTGGCAGAGTGACACTATTTTCACCAAAAATTATAATGTTAATTAGATATAAAAAAATCTTATATATATTATATGTTGAATTTTCTTGGTTTTTTTATGTATTTTATTTATTTTTTATTTTTATTTCTTTTAGTGCATATCGTGGCTATGTTACTACGAGTGCGCAACATAGCATAACAATTGTAATATAAAATACTACTATATTTATCAATGAAATATTTTAGAATATTAAAGGGCTTTTTTCACTTTTAGCATGTGACATAAAATATTTATATTCGATAGCCGAAAATATGTATAAAATTTATTTTCCCAATATTAAAGCAACATCTTTGTTTTTAAAACAAATCTTGTCTTTTTTGAAAGTATATGGAGTAATATGTATTCAAATATTGATGTCCCATATGATCATAGTTTTCACTTTGTTTCTGTATGTAGCCTTTTTAATTAGGCAAATAATGAAGCCACTCACATTGAACTAAGGGGTGTCGAGCGATACTCATTCGCCAAAAAATTACACTATATTACTAGATAATTTTTTATATTTTATGTGTATATATTATACGTTGACCCCCCTCGACTTTTCGATGTAGCTAATTATTTATTTTTTAATACTCCTTGATGAAAATTCTGACTCCGCCACTGAATGAAGCATGTGGTCTTGTGACATGGTGATAGTTTGTTGTCTCTAACCTATTAATTCAAGGCCTTTATACATTCAATATGTAAGAGTTTACATTCAATGAGAGATTAGGTGCAACCATACAAATATATCATGCGAAACCTATCTACGATGACTTTTTTTTTCATTCGGTGTAATAGGGGTTCGACTAATTGGAATTTGCGCCAAAAAGTTCTACTTTTAGAGGTCGTTTGGTAGAGTTTATAAGAATAGTATTTAATAGAGTGTATAAGTAATGTTGTTATTACTTATGCATGCATTAGTTATGCTGAAATTATTTTTATCGACTGTTTGGTTTAGTGTATTAAAAATTACATGCATTGCACAATTGTTTTAGAAAATCATTTGTTTACAAAAATATACTTAGGGATAATTACATTAATTTGGTCTATATAGTTTGTGCAATTGCTGATCCGCAGTGTATCCATGGAGAATTGGCCTCACCGTCGGGAAGAGGAAGAATCCCACGATTGTAGAGAAAAGTACTTTAATTTCCAGAAAAGAAATTGCGGTCTTTTAGCATTCTTTTTTTTTTGTTAAATAAGATTTTTAATAGAAGGGATAATTAATTGAAAGAATTTCATATTAGAAAACGCGGTGGAACAAAATTTTAGAAAAGACAAATTTGTCAACATGTATCTTATTTACCTTAATGAAAAAATAGGTAAAAAGAATTTTAATCAAGCATAAAATTTAAAGGGGCAATTTTGTTTTTAACTAAGTTTATGCATGTATTAATAACCTTGGTATTGTTAATACTATGAATTGCTATGTATTAGCTATATATAGCATAATACCAAATAGGTGTGCAATTAATGCTTGAATTAGTTATACATATGTTGAAAAAGTGTACCAAACAAGGTATTACTAATACACAAAGCTAATGCATGCATTATTTTTTCTAATGCACTCTACCGAACGACCTCTTAGGGATAAAATGTTCCCTATCAAAGGTGATTCTATATCCAGGACTCAAACCCGAGACCTGTGAATAAGAATGAAGGCAGAGGGCGGAATTAGCGTTTGAGTTACAGGTTTGACCGAACTCAGTAACTTTGATTCAATCATGTATTTGTCTTAAAAAATCAATTGAATATGTACAAATTGATAATTTAGAACCTATTTGCTTAAACGAGCTAAAATTCTGAACCCATAAGCTTCAAATTTTGACTCGGCCTTTGAATGAAAAAGTACTTATAACTCCATCACAACCGTCGGTGGTGTATCGTCCATGATGACTTGGACACAAGACATCTTCCTTATTGTTGGATTTTACTTTTGCATGAAGTCATTACTTAAGCCAAACAGAAGAATTAAAAATAAATTAAAGTACAAAGTCGAGCAACTACAAATCTATAAAGCTTAATTATACTTTGAGTATGGCTTATGCAACCAAATACATTCTTAAGGCAAAAGGAAGAATGTCCTAAGGAAATAATTTATACAACTATCTATATTAGATGCTTCAGTTGCAACAGCCAACAGGTGATAGAGATACGTGTATAGTGAGAGGTAAAGTAACAAGTACCAACTAGTCGAGATGCAAGACAAAAAAAACAAAGAGTTGTCTTCAGCTTAAGAAAAAGCTGTGGTGAGGCGATCAGGCAGGACATGACGCTGCTTCAGCTTGACGAGGACATGACCCTTGATAAGAGCGCGGGGAGGTCGAAAATTAGGATTGAAGGTTATTAGGTAGTCGAGAGTTTTTCCTAACTCTCCTTTCCTTACCAGTAGTGCCACCATAATTCTTGTATTCTTAGATCTCTACTACCACTTGTTGTTTCGATCATATCAGTTATTTTCCTATTGTTGTTTGTTGCTACTGGTTCCATTTTATAGCCAAGAGTCTATCGAAAACAGCATCTCTACCTTCACCAGGTAGGGGTAAGGTCTGCGTACACACTATCCTTCCCAAACCCGACTCGTGAGATTATACTGGATATGTTGTTGCAAGACAAAAAACAAAGAGTACATATTACAACGGATGAGATGAAAATGGAACAGCAAAAAAAGAAGGGAAAGACGAAAAGAGCAAATTAAGAGAGGCAACAAAATAGATATTCATTTACTAATAAGAACATACAGTAACCATCACTTGCTTGTAACTCTTTTCTTAATGCACAAATGTCAGCTGAAAATAACAGAAACTAAATACAAACAGAACACAGCAAATTCACAAGAAAACAGCCCCTTAATAACTTGCTATTCTCTTTTTGGGGCCATTCACAACATGTTCATACATTTCATTTGTCATCTCCTGAGAGCTTTGGCGTCAATTTACTACTACCAAACATGTACAAAAAGAACTCTCCTTTCGCTAATCGGCTGCTACAAGAGGCGAGAGAAAGACTTCAAAGATTAGAACGAGAAAGAAAATACCAAGAACTAAAATACACAGCAGCCTCTTGTCCTCGTCAACGAGGAGATGCAGCTTGCCAAGGTGGATTCGGATGGAAAGGATGCAACTCAGATCGCTTCATTCATTGATCATCAACTAGCATAGTTTACTAAACGTATACTTCACTTCACGTCATGTCCATGTCATTGTTGGACGAGAAAAATTGCATGCCCATTTGCCTTTTTATATGTTCTGGTATCAACCGATTAATGAGGTCTGAAGAGGCACCAGACAACTGAAACCATAAAATACAGTCGGATTAGCATAATAGTTTTACTTAATTACTTCGAACAGTTTAGTAAAGTATAGTTTGCAATTGAGCAATGGTAACACGGGATTAGCAGCGGCGTTACAAGAGTGCTGCCAACCATAGTAACTACAGCACATAAGTTAGCTATGTGATTTATTGTATAAAAGACTGCACGCTGTAGCCATACCTCCTGCTTAAAATTGAAAAGAGGCGGCAATGGCCGGCCATTAGGAAGGCGTGCATTGGGTTCCCGAAGCTCATCAAAGAAAGGGTGTGCACATGCTTCAAGCTGCATAAAGAAAAGTAGAGCACCAAGTAGTTAGATTCGGGTGTTCAACATCCAATAAAGAGAGGGAAACCATCCCGCGAGCAGGAACGTGGTATCACGCCAGTAAGATCAACAAAAACGGATCGTGGAATATAAAAGACCTGTGATAATTAAGATATTTGCGTAATGAATAAAATTCACATCAGATAAAAGATAACTATATAAAACTTACTGCAGTGCATCGAAGACTTGGTGAGTATTGCAATAGCCGTGAAGCAAGGTCAATTGCTTCAGGTGGCATCCGCTTGTGGAATACCTGACCATGGCAACGGCAACATAGTGAGTCAGCAGCAGCGAAATTACATGCACAAGCTCACAAACAACAATAGAATTTATTCTAGGTTAATTATTAAAGGTAGGAGTCCAGCCGAGGGTCTTTCGGAAACAGCCTCTCTACCTCCACAAGGTAGGGGTAAAGTCTGCGTACACTTAGGCCTCATTTATTTTTTTTAAGATTAAGACGTCTGAATCTTAATACACGTCTGAATATCAAGATGTGTATTAAGATTAAGATATCTGAATCTGAATACACATCTGAATGTTAAGATGTGTATTAAGATCTGAATACTAAATGATT